TGTTACCTGGATATACTAGGAGTGTATGACCAGTAAGAATTATTTGCAGGCTTCTCAGATAGTTCTCACTTCCAGACGTTTTATGTGCACTTGGACTCCTGTGGCATCCATGTTCCCTGTGCAGTATCTTCATTCAGATGAGATGGGTGCCCACTGAGGAGGCTTCTTTAATCACACTTTTCTGGGGTGAAGACAGTGAGATGAGACACACACCCTAGGGAGCATCCTCCTGAGCCCGGGAGGAAGCATAACTATAGTATGTCCTCTATGCGTGAAGTAAAATTCCTGGGAAACATGCAGGGGGAAAGGAATACAAATGCTCACTGTAAAATATTTTTAAAAACTCAACCTGTTGATGCTATGCCCTGAGGAAAGAACCATTATCTGCTGGTTATCTATTCTGAAAGGCTGAAGTTCAAGAGCTAAGATGTATAAAAAAAACCCAGGATGATCTGCACAGTGTGTGCTTGTCCTGTGCTGAGGCTATTATGAACTTGAAACCACAGCAAAAACCCTTGGCGGAGTTTGAAGGATTAACTTACAACAGAGCCCATGCTGGAGTTGGAGGGATCATGTCCAGTAGGCTTATGAGCATGTGCATAAGTTGTTGTATCATTTTAATGTTTTCTCTGTTATGTTCTCTTGAGAATAAATGTCCTTGCTTAGAGCTGTGTGGTCACTTATAACTATGAACAATTTCATTATTTACAGCCTTCAAGAATAAACAGAGTGCAGATGCTGGCCTGATGAGGCAGTTTAACTTGCTGGGAATAACACAGTGTAGGCAGTTAACTGCACATTCAGATAAAACACACAGCAGGAGGGAGAGACACAACATAACTGCTGAAGAGTTGGAAGCCTAAAAGCAGGTGTACCCTTGCTGGACCATAGCAAGAGAATACAGGTACATTTGTTCTAACGGTGACACTAGAAAACACAGTAGAATTGCTCTTCCATCTTAGATCCCTTGAAGGGTCGAGCTATAGCTAGCAATACAGGGTCAATAGAGTTAGACAGCAGTGCTTTCACAGTTGAACCCATGTTGCAGAGTTTGGACCTGGGATGGACATTCTTTTAAAATATTAAAACAATTACTTATCAACTTTAGCAGTTGTTTTATCCCTTTGGTTTTCTGTTTCATTTACTTTGTAACCAATCAGGGAATTAACATAACGTGTATGAGAGAGAGAAAGAGAATACAGTAATCAATTTCTATAACATACTGGGATTAAAGGTATTGAATGGTACAGAGAAAAATACTGCGATGTCCCTATTTACATTTTTTATATTTGTTTGTTGAAATTAAAAGGAAACAAATATAAATAAATACTTTTCTGCATAATGCATTGTTAACCTCTGGAACTCAGTGCCACTGGCTACTTGTTAGTAGTAGGCAGATTAAAAAATTAGATACCTAGATAAATAAAAGCACTATTTGCTGTTATTTAACCTATAAATGAATTTCAAGGACTTGCAAGAATTTGACTCCATTGTGTAAAACCTCCAATCTTGACCCAGGATATGAGATGGATGAGTAGTTTGCTCAGCAGTTGCAGTTCTCCATAATTCCTACAAGGATGAGGCATGGGGCAGCTGTACGAAGCAGCTTTCCTTTTCTATTATGTGGATAAACATTACTTCAGCCTACAGTGCTGTCAAACAGGCAACTTTCACAAGCATTACATCCCTTGTAATTAAAAAATAATAATTTACCCTCATATTTCACTGCTGTAAATTTACTAAAGTCAAATTTTAAGAATTAGTTTCTGATTAGTATATGATAAATCAGGACAGTCTATATCTTTGTAAAAGTCTGCTCTTTAAAAATAAACAACTGAAAATGGCTATGCACATCATTTAAATGAGTCACTTACCAACACTGATCTAGCTTCTATAAATAGAGTGATCTGACATTCTACAGCTACTCCCACAGTACCACCTTCAAACTGAATAAAATGCCTTTAAAACAGAGCTCAAGAGAAGTCTTAAAGCAAGTACTGGGCAAATTTTTCCAACAAACTTTTTTCAGCAAAATATGTAGGTTTGTCACCCAAAAACATTTTGCAAATTTCTGTTGATTTTACTGAACTGTTTGTTCAGAAAAAAAAAGTTTATCTGATTCTTAAGAACAAACATTTCATTTTGACACAATTATATTTGTTTTAAAACAATTTTGTGTTACCAAATTTTCTTTAATTTTATTTCTTTTTAAATACTGAAATGAAACACTTTATTTTGGCTTCAATAAAACATTTTATTTAATCTAAAATGATTTTTCCCCAATGTTCTAATTTGCTGAAAATGGGGGGTTTTTTTGTATCACCTGAGACTTTTTTCTTCAATTTTGCAAAAATTGCCAATGAGTCAAAGAAATTGTTATTTTCCCAATTCAGCTCAGATCTGGTATTCTAAAATGCTAAGCATTATCCTGCTCCTTCTTTACCATGTTAAACTGAAATAAAATAGCATTTTTAAGGTTTCATTGGAAAAAATAATTGCACACAGACTGTATATATACTAAAATCAAAATTGTGTCTTTTTATATTTGACTTTGCTGAATGCTCACAGTCTTAACTTTTGCTTGTATTACTGTTATCTTCTCTAATTTTCAGGGGAAATTTTTACATGGTGGCCTTATTAGAACATGTTAGAGCAAAACTCACTCAGATGAGCATACATATATATCTGTTAGTATCTAAGGTGCTACAGGACTACTCATTTTTTATTAAGTTACAGACTAACACTCTATCCCTCTGAGACTTATCAGAACATAATAAAAAGGGTGCCATCTCCCAATAAACCAAAGAAAATTACCTCCCAAAAAAGCAGCGTTTATTTTGAATTTTGAAGCATCTATCCAGTGGTGCAGCCCATCAGGCTTCTACTTATGGCCCACAAGAAGTTTTGTTTACTATAGTCCACACACAGGGGTTGCCAGAGTCTGCTGGTTTCCATATGCGTAGGGGGGGTTTCTGCCAGTATCGCTATAGTGACACACAGGTAAAGCAGTCTCGTGAAGGGAGGTGTGTGCTGATTGCACGAGACATTGACTGTGAGAGTCGTGTGTGCACTCTGCTTCCAATCAAAGCACTGCTACAGTTCAGTCAGCATATCCTACAAATTCTAGGTACATAAGCACATTTAGCAAAACTGCTCTATCCCAGGAGATTGTCTTGGTTACAACACTCTGGCAGCCCATGGACATGAAGGAATGCCACTCATGCGGCCCACTCACTATTCTAGATTAGGGATGCCAATGTGTAGATGAATATACAATTAACTGATAATCCTGGTTTTACTAGTTAATCCTGTTGATTACATGCACTCCCTCCCACCTTTCTGCCTCTATATCAGAAGCAGCAAGGAGGGGAGGCAGGAGCCGGTGTCCGTGAAGAGCTGTCTTAAAAACCAGCTCCCCATGAGCACTAGATTCCCCCCCACACACACACACACCCTCCCACGCTGCTCTTCCATCACCCTCTCCTCTTCCATCACCGCCTGCGGCAAACATATAAACCCACTCCCTGAGTAGGCTGATCTGACAGCCTCACCTGTTCGCGCTTCAAGTTCCCAGCCCATTGTCATGCCCACACCCATAACACCTTGGAGTGTAAGAATGCCAGATGTCCACCATAATTCACCTAGAGAAAGAAGGCCTCCTCAATGGCTGGACCTTTAGTTAAGGTTAACCCACAAATGGGGCAAAATAATCCCCAGAGTTAGCTGGGAACTTGAGGCAGTCTACCCCCCTTCCCTAGTTTAGTGTTTGTTTTATTAAAGGGACATTCTTATTTGGGGAGAGGGGAGGAATATGTTGTGTATTGGGATTGTAGATATAGATCTTGTTGTTATAGTTACTGAGTTAGGTCACCAGGGCTATGTCTACACTGTACTGTAAACTTGATATAAGCAAATTGCGTAGCTTATTTTGAGTTTATTTTGAAATAAAGTGCTATTTCGAGATATCCCTTAACCCTCATGGAATGAGGGTTACTGGGATGTGCGCTCGTTATTTTGAAAAATATTTCGAAATAATGGGTGGCTTGTGAAGACACGGGGTAGCTATTTCGGGATACCCCATGACATACCCTAGGGGTCATCCCAGCTGGTTTGGGCTGGTTCAGATAAATAGTTTTTCTATCTGCCAGTTCTGTGTCATGAAATAAATGGACACTTGCAACTGCTCAAGTTCTCATTTTCCAGTGATTTCTTTCTAAACTGTGGCTTTCCAAATGATACAATAGTCCTGAGTTCCCTGCCACTGCCCTAAACAATATTACAATGCTAAATTCTCCTAAACTAAGAGCTGAAGTTATAAACTACAAACAACTGAAGGGAAGCACTTGTGATGCTAGCAAATGTTGTTCCAATGACTGTCACGAGCAGTAAGAAGGAACTGAGGGGGAGCAGCAGGGTCTTATATTGAGCGTCATAAAGGCGCCACTCCAGGGAGCTCCCTAGCCAACCTGACGGGAGCTGCTAAGGGAAGAATTTCCAGCATCCGTGCATGCAATGTGTGCATGCCTGATTGGAATCAATGTGAACAAGCACTCAGAGAACTATTGTTCGCAAGGTAACACTGCAGTTTGAGTTACTCCTTCCACAGTTCCAGCCTCTCCCTTTAAAGTGCAGTCCAAAGCCGGAATTTAAGTGCATGTAAAAATGGCAACGTGGCATTTCCTGTTTACTGTCTCCAATGACTTCCAAAAGTCCAAATCATTGCTGCTCTCTGTAAGTGGTTTTTCTATCTGCCAGTGCTGCAAATTCAACTTGGAAGTCAAAGGTTAAACTGGTTTCTTGCTGACTGACACATCACCACCAATCTGAAAATGGAAACTAGCAAACAATTCTGTTGATTATGTACAAGGCAGAAAAGCTCTTCCGTGATGTATTAGCACTGTCAGCCATAGATATGACTCTGAATACACAGAGGATGCAAAGTAAGCATCCTAACCTAGCCTAATCTGCAAATAATCAACTTCAAAACCCAGTTTTCCATGTATTGTTTTATTTCCATATTGTCCCAAGTGGCATCAGCAATGGCAATTCTAATATATTGATATATATTTTAATGTGCACATGAATATTATTTTAAAATTCCTTCTATTTCATGCAATATATTTTAAAATTCTATAACATTAATATACCACTAGTGTTTTATTTATCATTATGATTTTAAAAATGTTTTACTATAAACATTTATATATTTTAACTGCTTTGTTTTACGTTTTTGAATGTTTCCCTGTAATGAAGTATATTGTATGCAATCTTATTGATTACAATTAAATGTATGCTAAAGCTCAACTTATACAGCTTTTAAAAATTAAACAACAAAAACATTCTGCTAAAGGAAAGTAAGGATTTTCATAACACCGCTTGTCCAAAATATTTATGATCAATAATTCCAAAAAGTCTTGCAACCGAAAATTAAAAGAATATAAAACATAACACACAAAGCAAACTTCACTAGTTAGCAATGACATTAAGGATCTGTAGGATAATGCCCTAAGATTTAGGGAAGCCTTCTGTATATTGAAGTTGCAACTTGAATTTTATTACACAACTTTCATATTCATCATTTACCAGACAAACATTAATATGCATTCCATAATATTCTATATCACCTTATTTAATTAATGGTATTAACTATGTGTTACTCTTGGAATGTCTGAATTCACTGTATTGAGGCAACGAGATCCTACATTCTAATACTTTCATTAAACAGCCCATTAAGATCTTTCCTCAAAGATCATTTAAGCAACTTCTCTGAACACTAAATATGACTAAATTATTTCTAGGAGTTGTTTAATATTTGATCTCAGATTATTGGGAAATTCACAAAATTGGTAAGGTCAATTTATAATAGTTCTTATGGAACTAATTAGGATTTTAAAGATATAGTCTCTCTACAATAACAATAAGATTCTATTAATGTACAATAAATAGTACTGGCTTATCTCTTGTGATATAAAATTAGCTTTTCATAGCTCAGTTCTCATACCTAAATGACTATCTTAAGCCATGAGAGATACAATGTAGTAAATTAATTATAATTGAATTCAACACTGTTTACTGATGACAGACCAAAGAAACTAAGTAGATCCATATAGCTAAAATGTTGTTTGGGTATGGATGTATATACACAGCAAGAGCAAATTCTGTGTTGGGGATTTCTGAAGAATGAATGCCAGTTTGATACACAGCCTCAGTTATTGATGGTAAATCTATGTATGGCATCTGTAAAGGGTATCCTGTCACCTAGAGAAACATAGGATTGTAAAAATAAATACAGTTGGATTATTTTATGAAAAACTAAATGTTATACCTTAATTTATAATAGCTTTATGGATAAAAAACGTTCACATATCAAAAACAATATACAGTGTATGCTTATGTCTGAATTTGAAATGAAGCATTTGATAATTTTCCTATGAAATGTTACATCAAGTTGTCTAATTATTAAGTAACCAATCTCCCTTATATATAACATTTATTTTTGCTTTGAGCTATTGATTCAATGAAAAGATTATACTGTATATTTTTGTATCATATTACAAAACATACTGTAAACATGATTGCATTAAGAAACTTTTAGAAAAATAAAAAATAGTTCTTTCTTTGTATTTAATAGCCATGATAAACTGGGAGAATGAAATCCTGTCTCCAATAAAGCCAATGTGGCTAGGATTTCATGCAGGATATCCAAAATAAAAGTTTTGTCAGTATACATGAGAAGCCCAGAATACATGAGAAAGCAATTAATATTAATCAGCAATTGATTGTAGAAGTAAAGCACAGTATTTATCTACATAGATTTTGGTATTTATCTGTTTCTGGTACATATTAGCTGCATATAGTAGAGGATAACTGATTTTGAGACAAGAGAAATGCAACAGATCTAATCTATCTGGACTTCAATACAACATTTTATATGGTACCACCTGGGAAATTATTAGTGAAAATGGAGAAGATGGGTGGTTAATAAACAAGCTGTAAGGTGGGTAAGGAGCTGGCTAATAGGAAAATGACAAAAAATGATTACATATATTTCTGTAACTATTATTCTTAGAGATGTGTTGCACATGTCCATTCCACTTTAGGTGAGTGAGTGTCAGTGCACCGAAGATGGAGAACTTTTCCTCATAGTGATATCCATTAGGACAGTGCATGGGCCCACCACACTTTCATGTACTTGTGAAGAGCATAAAGAGGTAAAGCTGCACTGGATAGCTAGTATAAGCAGTGACTCTGATGTGGAGGGGAAGGAGAGTGGCTTGCAGAATGGACAAATGTAACATTTTTTAAAATAGTCTCAAAATTTGTATTTAACCATATTTTTTCAAGTGTTTGAATATATCCCTTCCATTTTAGGTAATTAACAGGCAGTTTTAATCGAGTGGGATAATGGAGTATACCTGACCCAGGGGTCTGCAACCTTTCAAAGAAGAAGAAAAATGTTTTTTGTTGTCTTTCACCAAAATATTTCAAAAGCTGTATAACAACAAAGCTATATGTACACATACAAAAAGGCAGTAGGTTCTGGGAGAGAGATCAGGGCTGGGGCAGAGGTGCAGGAGGATGGGTCAAATACATAGATACTACATTCATATTCCAAATACATCCAGGACACTAATAGGTAGTCCTGCTGCTACAGCTACAATTTTATTTTTAGTGCACTCTCTCAAGCAGAACTAGCACAGGTATGTCTCCTCAAACTAGAATTTACACCTCCAGTTCAATGGGTAGACATAGTCCTAGAGGCACATCAAAGAATCTGACCCAAAGAGGGTATCTTATAATAAATAATTAGCAACATTTTAAATAAGTTTAAATGTACAGTAACATTTGTATTTGTGTTATGAGCAGATGCAAGTATAAAGGGAAAACAATAACACAAAAGATGATTTAGAACTAGAACACAATTCTGCTTTTGTTGTATAATATTGTTATAACTAGGCTCTGTTGTTTCCCCAGCCAGCTCCATTTTTCTATTTAATGAATGGATCTTTCAGAAGAATCTATAGAATATGACTGTGATAAATAAAATCATTGTAGAAATATTTTCTTTCAAGAAAATGGAATATCCCAAGTGATGTGATTTAAACTGAAGTTTCAGAACAGGAACTTTGAGAATATACGTAACATTAAAAAATTCTGTTTTACTGTTTATGGCAGAAGCTGTATCATACCTAGTGAAGATATTTAGTGCAGGAGGAGAAGGACCAGGGGCAGGAGGAGCCATTGCAGGGGAGGGGTGGCGGGTGCATGGGGCAAGACCATGCCATAATGGATGGCATGGCCAATGTGGGCGGTGAGGGTTGCAATGGAATCCGCCATGCGGATGCACTGGGCCTGGAAGAGCCCCAGGCCTCCTGGGCCACTGCAGGTCCGCCTCCATGCGCTGAGTGATGGCTGCCTCGACGTGCTTGACGGCCTGCACATGGCGCCGAAGGAGCTGGTCCCGGTGGCGGAGCCTCTGCCTCGGTGGGTGGGGGGCTGGGGATGGTGCTCAGTCAGGCAGCCCGGCCACTGTCCTCACACCTCAGGCCCTCCACCCCTGAGCCCAGGTGACACCACAGTAGTGTGGCTTGGGCCCACTCGGTTAACCCCCTCCCCCCTGTGTTGTATGTTTGCATACAGGACCACCCCTGGACTAGGGTCCTCCTCCATATATTGGAACCACCAATCTGTGTCCTGGCCCCGTGGAAGGTGGGAGGGCGCTTATGTTGTGTTAACCTGTGGAACTCTCTGCCAGTGGAGGCTGTGAGGCTTTGGGCTAATCAATGGTGTTTGACAGGGAGTGAGATGAGTCCCCACACAGTGCCTGGGAGCACATATGGCAGACGTGGTCTGGGCTCTCAGATTCCCCCCCTCCAGCAGCCCCAGCGTCTCTCAGATTCCCCTCATGTGGGATGTCTCCTGGACGGAACCAGGGGTGACTGGGGAGTGTACCATCCTTGCAGCAAAACTGAGGTGATCACCTAGGGCCAGCCCAAGCACTTCCCCTCCTCCCCCTCTCGTTAGCCCTCACACATGTAGCCCAGGGACATGTGTGGCCGCAGTGGGGACTTCCCTCAGGGGGCCAGCCAAGGCACCGGGAGCAGGCAAGGGGCTCAGTGGGGGCCACGCTCACAGGGCTGTGACGCTGTGGTTTTCCCAGGAGCAGCTGGCTGTGCCTCAGAACTGTGCCGTTCTGTGTGCTGCACCCTTGCGGAGGTGCGGGCTCTGGCCCGAGCCCCTGGGGCCCTGGCTGTTTCCAGCCGGCATCCACCCTTCCCCCCTAGTCCTGCCAAATGTGTGTGAGCAGCACGGTCCCAGGCGTGCCCTGGAGCTGCCTGCCGCGGCTACATGCCGCTCGGTCACCAGGCTGCACGTGGTTGCACGTGCTGCTTACTGTCTAATGTTACACAGAGTGAAGCTCACGTGGCCTGAGTGACGTGCTCTCCCCCCCGCCCCGCCCTTGTGAGTGCAAAGACTCACCGGTGGATCCTTCCCTGGCCTCCGAGGATGCACGGGAGATGTCGGGGCTGCCGGAGGGGGCCTGCAGGGTGGCAGTGCTGGCCTCGTCCTCTGACCCGCTGCTGGTGTCTCCTTCCCCCCCGCCCCGGTGGTCCTGGTGAAGTGGGGGTGCATGCTGCTGTCCACGGGGACGTCCGATGCTTGCGGTGCTGGCTGGCTCAAAATGGCATGGAGCCGTCGGTAGTGGGGGCAGGTGTCGGCTCCTGTCCCCTGGCCCTCGCTGGCCCGGACGTAGCCCAGGCGCAGTTCCTTAACTTTAGCCCAGACTTGATCCGGGGTCTGGGCTGGGTGGCCCTGCTGGGGGAGCGCCTGGGCCATGCGGGCAAAAATGTCTGCGTTCTGGTGCCGGGAGTGGGTGTTGTGCAGGGCTTCCTCCTCCTGCCACAGGTCCATGAGGGCTTCCAACGACTAGGATAGGGCCCATCTTTTTCTGGCCTTGGGGGCCTCTTGTGCTGGGGGTGCGGGTGCCTGATCCCCCCCTGGAGCTACCATCGTGTTCTGGGGTGGCTGTTGAGGACAGCAGGGGACACGTGGCAGACCTCTGGCCAGAGGTCCGAGAAGGGCTCCTGCCTCGTGACCTTAGCAGCCTGCATCTGCTTTAAGGGGGCTCGGGTTACCAGGAAGTCCGGGAGCTGACTGCAGCTACGGAGTCTCCAAGAGGCCAGTAGGGCTTTTTTCCGTTTAGCCTGCTTTTCCGCAAAACATCTTAGCTGCCTGTTTACACTGGCCCTCTTGTGCAAAATCATTTCCTCAAGAGTGCTTTTTCCTGAACTGGAGCGTCAAAGCATTTGCACAAGAAGCACTGATTTCGGACAGTAGAACGTCAGTGCTCTTGCGCAAAATCAAGCGGCCAGTGTAGACAGCTGGCAAGTTTTTGCGCAAAAGCAGTTGCTTTTGTGCAAAATCTTGCCAGTCTAGATGCACTCATTCTGAAATAATGATAATTGTTTAAAACAAACAACAAAAGATTACTTTCAAACAAATACACCTGGCAATTTCCTAGACTGGGTCTCTTGTGGCCACATCAAGCTGTTTTGATCTTTTCAGATTCAAGGAGGATGAAGGTGATCCTTATGCTAAGATCTACCCTTATGCTCAAGTCATATTTCAGCCTTATTTTGATTTCTTAAGTGATGTCTTGGCCTCATTTTGCATGTCAGGATATGGATGAATTATCACAGACTGAGTATGGACAGAAACCTGCTGGTCTATTTTGTTTGTTTTATGTATGCCCTGCATAATCAGCAGACCAAACATTTTAAACAAATGATGGGGGGGGGGAGGGAGATTGGTTTTGCTTTGGACTTTGTTCTTATACTTTCACATGATTTCCAAGTTCTGAGGATAAATTTACAACTTGTATCTTGGTCTCTAACGTCATTACTCATCAGATGTTATAATTGCTCACTTTGTGTTATCATCTGCTACAGTACAGGCATCTAGTGCCTATTCTGGCAGTCTAAAGTTAAATGGACTTGCCAGCTTGTCTGTTGGTAGACCACACTCCTACAGAACTGAAGCGCTGCATCTCCTAGAAAAATCTTATCTCAGAAATGGGTATTTCATCCCTAAATGGATGAGAATATATCTAAAATGAGATTATGTACCTGTAACTTGAGTCCCTATTTGTATTCCATACTGGACATGCAAGTGCACCACGAGCCTGAGTTTGGAAATGTTTCTTAGCAGTGTTCATTGACCCTCACATACATAACACATCTCCTCATGCTCCCAGCTGA